AGGAAAGGAAAGGAAAGGAAAGGAAAGGAAAGGAAAGGAAAGGAAAGGAAAGGAAAGGAAAGGAAAGGAAAGGAAAGGAAAGGAAAGGAAGAAAACCTACGGACAAAAATCAAGCAATCAAAAATAGGGCTTATAGGTTGATAGTTCCCGTATGAAAACTGAGCATACTAGTTTCCTGGGAAGTCCTATGCAGTGTACCCTAACAATGGCGTCCATGGAAATACCCTAGCTTTATGGCGGAAAAGTAGTTTCTTGGTTAGCTTCATCTAAAAAAGAAAAGAAAGAAGCCCTGTGGCTGTGCAAATTGGTACATCTGAGTGTCAAGAAGTCAGCTCCTTTCCGGGCAAGATGCTGCCTCAAACGCAGCTAGAACAAGAAGACCCTTAGATGTCAGCAGCTCCTCTTCCTCTCCCCAGACCAATTCCTTCCTGTCAGGGTCCTGCTATCTATAAGGACACCCACCGGGCCAGACAATTTATGATACCCAGCACCTAACCCTGAGCACTGGGGTAGATTGGGAAATATTTCTGACACTGAATCCTCAGAATTCCATAACTGTGAGTTTTAGTCAAATGTGTACATGTGTCTATACGAGAGTTATGCTGAAGCAAAATGGAAACAGAACCAGGGAAATGCAAGAGGTAAACGTACTTTTAGAATATTGAAATCCCTGGGCTGCAGTGCTGGTGATGCAGCAGTATAAAATGAACCAAAACAAATCCTTGCAATCTTCAACATTCACATCCTTAAATATTCCAGACACAATACCTTTTTGGTCATACTATAATTATATACACATGCACACTCTGCAAAGTAAATGAGCTGACTTTAGATACGAAAAGGGCATTAAAAATATAAACACTGCATTATGTTTCAATTTCTCTCCCAGATGTATGCGTGCTGGCAAGGAGGAGGTTCTTTCTCTTCCCGTAACTTTACTAATTTTAGAAAATAAATACATTCAATGTAGAGAGATTCAAGGATTGTTTTGATGAGGCGAGTTGCCATAAAACTTAATTATATAAGTAATAAATGTGTCAAAGAGATTTCAAAAAAATGTCTAATAGAATCACAACTTATTGCTCTGATATAATTTGATTTTATATTGCTGTGTTTAGCCATCAAGTCATTTTCTGTTCGTATTGTAATTGAATCAAATTATGTTGGATGGAAAATTATTATAAGATTCTTTGGTATTCATAAATCACACATACAATAAAAATGTTTGACATTTCTTTAAATGGCATTTTTAATAGTGCCACTACATCAGCAACATAGTATGATGTTCTGAAAAACTAAAATGACAAAAGAGAATTAATTGTGGTTTATGGATTTCCATTTGATATCAAACTCCTTTTTTTATTTTAATGAAATTATGTCTACTAAAATAAACTTGGCAAAAGTAGAGCAGTCAAAGCAAGCTGACCAAAACTGTCCTGATTAGTCATGGTCTAAGCCATACACGTCCTTCAGAAGGTCTAAGTATCGCACGAATTTCACAGGAAGAGGGGATGGCATCCCGAACCAAACATCTTCACATATCTAGAAAAAGAAAGAGATGGCTAGGATTAGAGCCAAATGTCAAGGTGCAGTTTTGAAAATTCCACCTCAGATTATTTGTCTTTACAGAAGCTTTTACTTTTAAGGCAGAAGTTGCTATTGTCCGTTTATGATCAGAAGGATTTGGAGATAGCTTCAGTTCTTGTTCTTGATTCTTTGCTAGCTTCCTCTATTAAAATTACACGTGCATCCTCCTCACCAGATGACTGCAGACGCTTCCACAGAGCAGTAGGAGGAGGCAGGGGAAGGAGAAGGAGGAGGAGAGAGGACAGGGAGGAAGGAGGGGCTATGGCCTAGGTAGGCACTGTTAGAAACTATGTCATGACTGGAGGTTCTATTGTGCCGGCTCAAGAATGACAAGGAGATGAGGGAGACCAGGCCCAACTTACAACCTAGAGCCAAAACAGCTACATCCAGCCAAGCTCAGCTGACCCATAACCCTTTGAACAAGAAAATAAATGTGTCTTGTGAATCACTGAAATGTTGGTGCATTCTTGCAGTGATAGCTCCACTATAACTTTATTAAGAACTCGATTTTCAAAGGACATAAATTCCAAACTGGTAGCTACACTGGCCGCCTGCTTATTGTTTCTTCAATAGGCCATGGAGAGAGCAATGGATCACTCACAGTGAGCTTGCAGGGATCAGCTACTTAGTACAGTCATGTGTTGCATGATGATGCTTTGGCTAACAGTGCCCTGTATATGACAGAGGTCCTTAACATTAGAACTGAGCCGAAAAATTCCTACTGCACAGTGATGTCATAGCCACCATGATAAGCACAATGGGTTACATATTTATAGTGGTGCTGGTTAAACAAACCTATGGCATTGTCAGTCAGGTAAAAGTATATCACATGCAATTATATACCATACATAACACTGCAAATATAATAAACAACCATGCTACAGGCTTGCACTTCTTGTCACTAGGGTACACTTCTTGTCACTAGGGTGTACTCCTTGTACTTAAAAAGTTTACTCTAAAACTGTACTGCTGTGTTATGCTAGCAGCAGCTTCATCCAGCCCATGTTTGCTGCACCCCTTGATTGTATCATTTTGTCCTGTGCTTGATATAGTTCCATTTTGTCCATAAAATGGTCCTAAGCAATGGGTGGTACTTATACAGTACTAGAGGTGGAACCCAAGTGATATAGCCCAGGTACGTGTGCGAATATATGCACACATGACAAAGACCTTATATTAACAAAGTTAATTGTTTTTTGCAGAACCAGGGATTGAACTCAGGCCCTTATGCTCACCAGGCAAGCGCTGATCCTACTGAGCTATCTCCCTGGCCCAGTTCATTGTTTTATAGACAAGGTCCTTTTTTCTTTCTTTTACAGTACTAGAGGTGGAACCCAAGGTCTTGCACTTGCCAGGCAAGCATTCTACCACTGAGCCACACCCATGGCTTCTATAGAAAGTTCTCAAACTTTGCTAATGTGATATTAGTAACCAGAATATCAAAGTGTAACAGATACACAGGGAAGCACCACTAATTCTAAGTGGGGGAGGTTTAGGAGCACACTGAGCCAGTGATGTTTCAGGTGGACCTTACAGGACGAGTAGCAGGTGAGCACCGGGTTAAGGCTCGGAAGGGTGTTCCAGCCATAGGGAACAGTATATGCAAAGTCTATTTTCTAGAGAAGGGAAGTACCTTCTGTGGTCTGGGACACATGGCACAAAATGGTAAGAGCGCTGGCCAGAAGGAGAAGTGGGAGCCAAACTTCAGGCCTTCTGTACCATTTCAGACTTCAGGTTATGGGGAGAGCAAACAAATGGAATGACAGTAATCTCTTTTGAAGTTGATCAGATAACATGTTGGGTGCATAAAGAGTGAAATGCACTGGGAAAATCAATGTGCCAGTGGTCGATAATCCTAAGGGAAGACAACTGTGCCATAACCAGGGCAGCAGACCTGGGCTAGAGAACAGGGGCTGTGCCTGAAAGATTCCACTGTAGGAGATCAAAGAATGTCTAGAAGGTGCAAAATTTAAAATGGTGGTAAAAGAAAGGGCCTCCACACTGAGCTACACCACCAGCCCTTTTTCATTTTGAGACAGGATATCACTAAGTCACGATGCTGCCCAGAGTGGGTTTGAACTGTCTCAGCCTCCAAGAGTGCTGAGATTACAGGCGCGCATCACCATACCCTGCTACATCTATTGTTGTGTCCCACCTAGCTTGTGGCAGTTCACTGTAGCCCTAGCACACTAATAGAGGAAAGGGTAGCTCTAAGAATCCGAAGTTTGTAATATATACAGCTGTCTGTATTAGTTTCCTAAGGCAGAGGGAACAAATCACTACGGAAGGGGGTGTTTAAAACAACTGAAATGCATTCCTCTCTCTCACACAATTGAGAAGGCCAGAAGTACAAAAACCAAGGTGTCTGCAGGGTTGACCCTTGCCCCACCCCCAGCTTCTGGAGGTTGTCACCAACCCTTGGGATTCCCTGCCTCCACCTTTGCGTGGAGCTGTGTGGAGGTATCTCTGTGTCTTCACATGCCCATCTTATAAATCACTAGACCTAGGGTGCACGTTAATCCAGTGGGACCTTCTTTTAACTAATCATATTTTCAAAGACCCTATTTTCCATACAAGGCCACACTGTGAGGTAAAGGACAGACATGACTTTTGGGACGTGGGGGCAATATTTAGCCCAAGGCAATGTCATAAGGAAAAGAAGAAAATAAGTTCAAAGAGGTTTTCTTTTTTTTTTAAGTGGAAAAATGAGGGTCTGAAGGGGACAATCAGATGAGTTTGGGACATTTTTTATTTCAAAGTCATATTTCAAGTTCTCATGGGACATCAAAGTGAAGATTCTTCTGGTAAACCCATGCAATATGTATAGCATAAAGTTATAGTCCAGAACTGTAAAAACGTGTAGAAGTCACTGAAATGTAAGTGATCTATAAAACTATGGCAATTGATAACTGATAATTCTAACATAGAATCAAGTACTGGTATCTTTTAAGGCATCAAAATCTTAATTTAAGTGGTGCCTGAATGATGATGAACTACTTGCAGACTTTTGCAGGGTTACAGGAATCTTATAAATACCTGCATTACTAGTACAAAAAATAATAAATGTATTGAATATTTATTACGTGAAAGCACTTTTAACACATATTAGTCATCACAGGAAAAAAAAAAATCTCAAAAGAGGTAGGCGGCAGTGTGATTACCAGAAAAGAAAACTGAGTAACTTATCTAAAGCCAAACCACTAGCCAGTGCAGAGCCTCCAGGGCCATGGTCATCTATCTGCTGGGCCGCCCTCCAAAACCAAGCTGTAGAGTTTTTTACACTTCAATTCTTTTCTTTTTTTTTCCCCCCCAGTACCAGGGATTGAACTCAGGACCCTGTGCTTGCCAGGCAAGCGCTTATTCTACTGAGCTATCTCCCCGGCCCCGTTTAGTGCAATGTGTACCATAGAACTGAGTGATCAGTCCTTCCTCACACCAAAAGGTAGTAAACCACTGTGGATATATATTAAGCAATATATTTTAACCAATAAACGCTGAGATCAACAGTTAATTGACTCCACTACTCAACATAGCCTCAAACTATCTATCTTTCTTTTTTCTTTTTTTATTTCTAGGGAAGGGCGTACAGGGTGTTCAGGGTCTCACTACTAGATCAGACTCACAGTGATCCGCCTGTTTACAGCCTCCCAAGAGCTGGGATTACAGGCGTGCGCCACTGTGCCCAGTCTCAGTCACTGCCCAGTCTCAGTCACTGTCTCAGTGAGCCCCGGGGGCGGAGCTGGCACTGCTGGCCCGGGAATCCAACCCTGGGCCCCCGCGCCTGCTTGCAGGCACTTTAATCCACTGAGCTATTTGGCTGGCCCTCAAACTTTCATTGCAAACTTGAAAGGAATTTTTGTTAAGTGGTATCTTTAAATTTAATCTTGTTACAGAAGAATGATACAAATATATACATTTGAAATCAATATTCTGTTAGATTTTTTATATAAAAGTTTTTAATATAAAAATAATAAAGCATATTATAACTTACAATTGTTATGGGCTTATTAGAGAAATGCATTCTTTTATGAAATATATCAGTATGAGGGGACCCTGCCTCATATCTTACTAGGCCACAAGAGTGGGATTGTGTATGTGTGTGCATGCGTGTGTGCGTGTGCGTGTGTGTGTGTGTGTGTGTGTGTGTGTGTGTGTGTGTGCTTGGAATCATGATTTAAATACCAACAATGAAAGAGAAAAACTTTCACTGTAATAATAACTCAAAAATTTTGAGATTAATAACAAATTTAGAGGGGCCAGGGAGATGGCTCAGTAGAATAAGCACTTGCCTGGCAATCACAAAGGCCTGAGTTCAATCCCCGGTTCTGCAAAAGGAAAAAAAATTTAAAGCCAGCCAAATAGCTCCGCAGACTAAAGTGCCTGCAATCAGGTAGGTGCAGGTCCCAGGGTTCAAGTTCAGCCTGCCATGCAGGCCCAGCCCCCTGGGGGCAATGAGACAGCAACTGAGATTGGGCGTGGTGGCATGTGCCTGTGATCCCAGCTCTTGGGAGCCTGTAAACAGGTGGATCACTATGAGTCTGATCTAGTAGTAAGATCCTGGACACCCTATAGACCCTTCCCTAAAATTAAAAAAAAAAAAAAAAAATTAGCAACAAACCAAACAGACAAAATGAAACTTAAGCAAATATCCAGGCAATTTGAAATAAAGGGTAATTTCAACCAGAAAGATAACAGTAGCCCGTTTCTTTAAATCGTGATTGCTTTAAACCCCACGGATCCCACAAAGTTCTCCTCACAACTCTAGCTCTCCCATCTATGTTCAGAATCCATTTCCCTCGATCATTTTTCCCTTTGTCACTGTTCTTGAGGTCTCAGGTGGGAGCAACTTTTTCTGTCCAAGACAGTCGATAAACACTACAGACACATTTGCAGTGCTTGGGGCACTGAAGCTCTACTCGCCACCACACTCCAACTTCAAGGAAATTTTCTCAGGT